GCAGAGGTCGGCCAACTATAGCTCCTGGTTCAAATTTGTCCTGCCACCGGTTTTTGTAGGTTGGTGAATAAAGAATGGCTTTTACATTTTCAAATAGGGGAAAAGCAAAAGAAGAAGAATATTTTGTTACATGTGAATTTCAATGAAATTACAATTTCAGTGTCCATAAATAAAGTTTAATGGGCACATAGCCACACTCTTTTGTTTACATGCTGTCTACAGCTGTTTTTGCCCTACAGTGGGAGAGTTAAGGAGTTGAGACAGAGACAATGTGCTCTACAAAGCCAAAACTACTTACTCTCTGGCCTTTCATAAGAATAGTTTGCCAACCCCTGGAGAGAAAAGGATTTGAAGTTCACAATAGGAATAAATTGCTCATCAGGGAATGATCCTGAAATATATATATATATATATATATCGCTGGGTGGCTCTGGCCCTGGGGCCCGGTGGTGGAGGATGGAGAGAAAGCTGGGCAGCCCCGTCCCGCTGTCCAGCTCCCAAAGCGGGGGCCCCGCCTGTCATCTGCTTGGGTTGCGGCTGGTGTGGAAGGACCGCTCCTCAGGGGTCAGGCCGGCAAAGAAGGGGTGCAGCAGGGCCTCCGCCAGTGTGATGTGCTGGGCAGGGTCAAATTCTAACATCTTCCTCATCAGGTCAAACAGCTGCACGTGCTCCAAGGCATCATCGAGCATGTAGCTCTGCTCAGGGACACAAGGTGCCACAGTGTGACGGCGGGGCCGGGGGGCCACCGCGGGTCCCTGGGCCTCTGGGAGGCCTTGCTGCAGGGCTCGAGGAGCCAGTGCTTGCCCCCCGGAGGACCACTTCTGCCCTCCTGGACCGCGAGCGGCTCTGCTCCTTGCATGCCCGCGTACAGCTTTTGGCTCTGAGCGTCTCGCTGGCTTGGTGCCTCTGCCCCTGCATGCAAGGTCCCGACGGGTGGGCAGTGTCCCCTCTGTAGAATTCACTGGTCCGGGCACCAGATGCCGTCGACAGAGGATTTCAGGCCATGTCTACATCTTCCCTCCCCCTCACCTCAGTCCTGCCTAGTTCTTCCCAAAACTGAGAGAAGAGGAGCACCGGAGGCAGCAAGGTCTCTTGACATCGGGCTCTTCTGGTGCTCACCCATTACATCCATGGCCACCCTGTAAAAAAAAAATAAAAAAAAAAAAAAGTATATATATATATATATATATATATATATACATTTTTTTAAAGATTTTATTTTTATTTATTTATTTGACAGAGATCACAAGTAGGCAGAGAGGCAGACAGAGAGAGAGAGGGGGGAAGCAGGCTCCCTGCTGAGCAGAGAGCCCAGTGTGGGACTTGATCCCAAGACCCCGGGATCATGACCTGAGCCGAAGGCAGAGGCTTTAACCCACTGAGCCACCCAGGCGCCCCCGTAAAATATATTTTTAAAAATTTAAAAAAAATTTTTTTAAATATATTTTTTAAAAATTTTGAAAGGTGAGACAAAACATCAAATAAAAACTAAAAAACAAGCAAAAAAGAGGAAAAAACACTAATAGTAATATTAGCGATATACTGTATGCCACATTCTCACCTAAGCACTTCTTTAAAATTGATCCCCTCCTCTCCATCCGACATGCCAACAAGATAGGTAGGCATCACCATTCTCGTTTTATAGATAAGGAGCCTAAAACTCAGAGGCTGCAGAACTCTTCCTGGGTCACAAAGCCAGCCTAAGACAAAGCCAGGATTTGAACCTTCAGCAGTTTAGATTAGAAAACCACAACCTTGGGGCACCCGGGTGGCTCAGTCGTCAGGCTGCCTGCTTGACAGGAAGCCTGTTTCTCCTTCTCCCACTCCCCCTGCTTGTGTTCCCTCTCTCTATCTGTCAAATAAATGGATAAAATCTTTTAAAAAATTAAAAAAAAACCCCACAACCTTAACTGTAAATCTAGAATCTCAACACAAACAAGTGAATACTATTGGGTCCATGTAGTGGGGAGAGGAAACATACTCAGTCTTTCCAAGTCAAGAAGATAGAGAAGCGTGGAGCCACGAAGCCTGGTACAGGTTTTAATGGAAGTACATCTCCTTTCCCCATCATAATGGGGCTACACAGTAGAGAAGAGTTCAGAGTGACTGACCGGCATAGGGCAGCTCTGTGTTAGTGCCGTAGCTGCTCCTTGTCCTGTTAGAGCAAGCCTTCAGACACAGAAGAGAACTTTAAAGAAGATGGGCAAATGAGGACTTTATTAACCCCAGGCGGCTGATCTCACTGTTGGCAAAACGAGGCTGAAGTTTGAGGAAGAGGATGAAAGATCCAGGAAAACTTGCCATAGGATGGAAAAAAAAAAAAAAGAAGAAAAACTAGAAACACCCTAAGGGATGTAGCAACTGTGGATGAACAGAGATGATCATTAGTAATGGAAAAATAAAGAGACCGTGGACTGCACATGAGTTGGAAGTTCTACTTTTAAGCAGGGAATCACAGCCAGCATAGAGTCTAGGATCTGGAGGATGAGGTTTGGGAGAGTACAATGGCTCACTTCAAGCCGAGCACCTGGGGAGCGTTCTCACTAAGGAAAGCGCATTCCTGTGTGTCGCTGGTCGGGCAGTGATATGCGGACGTCTGGGTCCGGTAAACCCTGGGCTGGCTCTGGGGCCTCTGCTGCGAACACAGGGCCTGCCTTGGGCTCTGGCATCTAGCCGCCTCCGTCTCTTAATGCAGATGCCCGAGTCCACTGTGTGCCCAGGGCAGGGTCTTCCCAGGAATCTCTTGTGTCATGACTATCGAGTCACACTATTTCTAAAGCATGGATGAGGAGACAGGAGTTTGAAAAAATCCAGCGACCTGACTTAAGCCACAGAGAACCCTGATTGGAGCCTCCTGCCCACCCAATCAACCCTTAAACATACTCCCGGTTTGCAGAGTATGGGCACCTTCCCCTACACCGTCTACAACTAAGTGCTTTTGATTCTGCTGTCAAGTCACGGCTCTTTCAAACAATGAAGAGCAGTCCACAGAGTGACTAAGGAACTAAATACAGATATGTATCTTCTCTCCCATCTGTAGTAACAAGTGGTGATGACAAAATTTTAATGATAACCGAAACACTACACAAATGTAATGTTCCCCAAATCCGTTGGTATCTGCAGAATGTGTAAACGGGACCCAGCGGGGAGAAGAGATGAATGTTTAAATAAGTTTGGGAAACACTGGGTTACCTCATTGTAAATGGGCTTATTTACTATAGGATTTCTCAGAGCTTTTATTATGCTTTCATATGCTGTGACTCTGTAAAAGGCAAAGGTAGCAAGCTGTGTTCCCAGATGTTTTTGACTAAAAAGCACTCTTGTCCCGCCCCTACATATATCTTCATGGTACCCTCACGGGAGCAGCATTTGATGAAACATTTGGGAAAATACTGCCCTAAACATATACTGAAATTTCAGCAAGACTAACCACAGTTTTTCTGTATTTCTGTTGCATACAGAAGAGCCTGCAAAAATTCCCTATGACAGGAGTTTTATAGGTAAGACCTCAGTCCCGTCACATAAAAACAAAACAAACAAACAAACAAACAAAAAACACTATTTCATACTCTGGCCATTCTAGTCTTTACCAAAGTCATTACACCTGAGGAAAACCCAGACATGAATACAATGGAAGAGCCAATGAATTTATCAAGGGAAATTAGCCACAGTGAATACTCAGTGCATCCTAGGGAGTGATGGCGGTTAGGAAGCTGTGAAAACATCTGCCCAAATCACATGTCTGAAGAGCAATTTCTTATGTTCCCAACATCCCAGGAAAGCTTAGATGACTTTTGTAAGCCCAGACTTGCTAGCATGTTGACCATCCCGTCAGAGTACCTTGTCAAAGCCCAGGTGCATCTGTGTGCTTTGCAAACACTGAGCTCCCTAAGCTGAGGCCAGATGAAAGGAGCCACAGGACCGGGAGGGACCAGGTGACATCATGATCACAGCACAGTTTCTGCCTCCAATGTCTTTGGACAAGTTCTGGGAATGAGAATGAAGCTTCTCCTTTGTGCCCCTCACCTGTCCATACAGTCTGCAGCTGTGTTGGGTCTGGGACTTCTGAAACACTCCCTGGCCAGCAGCTCACTTTCTATTTTACATCAGTGCCATTCTTCCCACAGATCTTTGCTCCCCTTTACGTTTCACATCCTCAACTTTCAATACCAGGTTTATTTAAGTGATCTTTTCCCAGACCTTCTCTTATTTCTGCTTGTTTTACCCACTTCCACAATTCATGGATTCCTTTTTGATCACTGCCTTACATGTAAAATACGAATATTTATTAAATATCCCCGTCTTTGGTCATCACCTGTTACACAATGCCCTTCTCATCTGAGAGTCTCCATTTTCCAGTTGCTTCTGCTACATTTGGGAAATTTGCTCATTCTCATTTCAGGATTTTATCTACATCAAACACCCCAATGTCTAAAAGCCCGCAGCCTACAAGTGTGGCACGAGTGAGGGTTTTTAGTATCTAAGACATGACTGTACTAAGTTGGTTCTAAACAGAGCAGTAGAGTGGGGGACGATGAAGAGCGCAACCTGTGAGACAGCCTGTCTGGCAACGAAGACCTTGCTAGCTGTGACTCTGCAAGAGTAACCAGTCTTTCTGGGCCTCATTTTCCCCACCTATAAACTGGTGAAAACAGTGTCACATATCTCATGGTTATAAGGATTAACTGAACTAATATATCTAAAAGGCTTATAAGAGCAACTAGCATTTGGTCAACACCATATAATCATTAGCTATTATTATTTTAACCATTTACAATGACAAGAGCACTTCAGAATAAAGTGTAGAGGTTTTTTTGGTGTTGTTTTTGTTTTTTTTAAGTAGGCTCCACACCCACCATGGAGCCCGGTGCGGGCTCAAACTCAGGACCCTGAGATCAAGACCTAAGCTGAGATCAAGAGGCAGATGCTTCACCAACTAAGCCCCCCCAGGTGCCCCAAGTGTAGAGTTTTTGAAAAGTCTATCTTTCTGTCTTTTTAAGGCCCAGATTATATAAAGGATCATCTACCTAAAGTTCATCAGCACACGTCCTATATAGGAGAAAAACGCCCGGCATTGGAAAAGACTGGAGATCTCAGATATTTATGGAGACCTGCCTCAAATGGAAACTTACCAGCAAAATATAAATACAAGTATGTTGGTGAAGTTGGTTGGGGAATACCAGAGTATGATTTTATCAACCAAACAAGGCTTCGGACTGGCTTTCAGATCAAGGTATTGCTCTTAAATCGCTCTTCATAAAGGATCGTTTCTGACTTGAATCCTTTCTGAGTAATCTTCCCCGGGAAATGTCATGTTCTTGATTTGTCATTGAAAAGTACTAGGATTTGAGTTTTGCAGAAAAAGAAATGTGTGAATAAATGGACTTGCTATGATTCCCTTTTAGGCCCTTCAATACATGAGAGGAGAGGTGTGAAGAGAAGGAAGCCATGCATAATCCAAAAGCGTTTGTGTTTGGCTTTGGAATGCGTTCAGATTCACATTTATGCTGCGACATTCACACGTACTTCCCCCATCCTAGCGCTGCATTCTGAGTGGGTGGTATAAAAGAAGCCTGGGCTGGACATCATCCACAAGCCGAAACAGAGAGTTCCAGCTCTTTAAGATGCACTGTGTTGATAATGCCTTTGTATCACAGAATTCAGAGTAATTAGCGGAAGGGTGCTTCGAGACCTTTTGGTGATGTGGATGTAGGCATGAGTCCAGACAGTCTCCTCTGAGACAAGAGAACCCAGGTGATTTTAGAAGTAAAATCTGAGAATTCAGACTTTTTTTTTTCCAGGCAAACCTTTGCATTATCTGAAAACTGAACATGGATCAACCATGAAATAACTGGATCTCCTCAAATGCGTAAGGCAATATAGGACCGCCTCATATGGTAAAGGTCAACAAAAGAAAAAACCTTTTTCTGGCTCAACTTAGGGCAGTGGGAGAAAGTGCTTGGAAGCTCAGTCCTTGAAGTCAGACAGGGCTGGATTCAAATCCTGACTCTGAGTTAGGTTTCACTCTGTGACCCTGAGTGAGTGAGTTCCGCTCTCTGGGTCCCTGCTCCCTTCTGTTCTACACAAGAGTGTGCGGAGTGCCCGCGTCCCAAGACCACCTGAAATCCCATCCTCTTCTGCCACCTACTTGCTGCTCGCTGTGGGTGGCCCTGTAAGTTCCTTAACCTCTTTGGTTTCTTCATTATGAGTCTTAGTGTTTACCTCACAGCACTGCTGTAAACATTAAGCAAGTTAATATTCGTAAAGGGCTGGGAACAGTGCCTGGCACATATCAGGCCTCTATGTATTTAATATTATTTTTGTTATGTGAGGATTAAATATGAGACCACAAAGAACACACAAGGTATGATGCCTAGCACATGGCTGACATCCAGATATCAGCTCTTAGCAGTATGTTTGCTGTACTTACTGTTACTTAGTATAATTTAACGGAACAGATATTCAGGTTCTTAAACGGTGTCCCATTCCACCTAAGCAAGAAAGATGAAGTCAGAGATACCAAGACTGGCCACCAGCAGGAAGAGCCCAGGCGAGGCGGCTGGTTTGAGAGAGTCCAAACGTCTGTTGCTTTTTTGCTTCTCTTTGGGTGACATCATGTATCTGTCTGGCCATCTTGGGTGTGTACTGCTTCTCTTCCTTCTTTATCTTTAAATTAAGAACACATTTGCCTATTCAAATGAAGCATATTCAAGTGTTCCTTGGACGTTGAAACAAGCTGTGAATCTAAAAGAGATAGCAGCCATGAGCTAGCCTTCCAGGAAGGAATTTATTGTTTCTTCCATTCATATTTCACAGGAGGCTTTAAACCACTATTCTGTTCCATAGCACTGTCTTCTTAACCCCTGTGAGACGGAGTCTGAGCCGCATGATGGTTTTTCTCCCCCGACTTGTGGCACATTCAGAAGCTGGTCCTGTTCGGCACGAGCCATGGGAACTGTTACCTATCACTTGTGCACCTTCCTGGCCCTGGCATTTTGACAGGAATTGTTTCCGAAGATGTACCTACCTCATAACGATCTTCAACAAGATCTTTGGAAGGAGAACAAGATTCATGGAGATTGACTGTACATCTGACCCTTGAACAATGAAGCAGTTAGGAGTGCTGATCCAACCGTTGAAAATCTGCGTGTAACTTTTGACTCCCCCCAAATTTAATGACTAATAGCCTACCATTGACCTTCAAGCCTGTGGATAATAGAAAAGAGTTGATGATGATGATGATGATGACATTCTGAATACGTATTATATACTGTATTCTTATCATAAACTAAAAAAAAGAAAATGTTATTAAGAAAATCATAAGGAAGAGAAAATACATTTATAGAACTGTACTGTATTTGTAAAAAAAAAAATTCCACGTGAAAGTAGACTTGCACACTTCAAACCCATGTTGTTCAAGGCTCAACTGTGCATATTAGCGAATAACCATCTATAATTTATCCACCAGTTAGGGTCTAGACTTGGCCGTCAAGGCTCCTGATCTTCCACTCGGCACCTAGGCATGGCTGTCTACATCTAAGGCAATATTCGTTTTTCAGTCTAGCCTCAGATTCCTTACCAACCCAGTGCTTCAGGCAGTTACTTTCGATCCATATGACTTGGCATGAATTGACATTTGAGTTGACACAAACACACACACTCCATGCATAAAAACGAGCTCCTAATGACAAACGGTATATGAGAGTCCATGTCGCTCACACCCCTCCTTACTAGGGAGCTGGTTCATTCCTTAGTTTGATGTAACTTAGGGAAATGGAGAAATGCCTCAAGGTACCTCCTGTTTTTCTTTGGTTCCTTGTCTTTAGTGGACCCTGTCTACATCCCTCCACCATCCTTGTGCATAACCCGATGAAGACGGCGCTCTGTTTCAGCCTAACTTCAGGGACTCCTCAGGGTCTCTCACTGTAGTTGCTCAGAGCTCTGATTTTTCAGCACAAACCTTTATCTAGTGGGTTTCTATAGCCTGAACAGCTATTCTTTCTAATCCACCTCTCCAGGTTTGCAGGAGACTGGCAGCTACCGATGCTCAGGCACCTCCATTAGACTCTTGGTAAGATGCCGGGGCAGCTGCTTCCTACCTGGGAATGGCCTCTCCTGTTTGGGGACTGGGAAGGGTTTTATAGGTCATCTACATTTTGGTAGAAAGACAATAACTTCTAGACTGAGTGACGCCTGAAAAATGTCCCCACATCAAAGAGGTCAGTAAAGATCACAATATCGGTTTTCTTTTCTGGATCTTTTTATGTTTAGCTATTTCCTACTCATGTTTATACGGGCTGCAATGTCATCATAGCACGTGTATATATAAACCAGTAAAGATCATTGCTTTTGTTATTATCTCAGATTTAAGAGTAGTACATTCTTCTTCTCTATTAAAAAATGGATTTAGTCTCTGCCAAACTGCATGTGATGTTTCTGCAAGAATTATATGAAGACTGGGCAACCCTCTCGAGTCTCCTTCCTCTTTGGGAGCTTTGCACTATCACTTTATTATCAGTCAATAAACTTTGCCTTGCTGCCCACAAAGAAAAGAATATATGAAGACCATTGAAACAACTTTGGTTTCAACCCCATGCCAAACGGAGGGGACTTTCTAACTCCTTCCTCGCTGAGCATATCTCCCTCCCCTTGGTTCTCTTTTTAACCCAAACCTCAATAGTATCAGCTGGCTTCCTAGTGCCATTTTCTGCTCCTGCACTCTGGCTTCATGACCAAATTATTTAAGTCATTCGGTTTTCCCACAAAAACAAGGTTATACTGGATTCAATGACTAATTCTTCATAGGTGTGATCCCAAAGACAACATTAAACCAATTAATCATAACCTATATTACAACCAATATGTCATGGAGTCTAACAACTTGAAAATCTACATAAAGTTCTCTTTATGGGAACCCATCAATATATTTATATGTGATACAGTATAGTGTAATAAAAAGTAAAATCTTCAAGACTTTGAAACTTCTGCCTTATTTGTAAATGCCACAAATTCCAGGGTTATGAAATGCAGAGGTCAGGGCACCTGGGTGGCTCAGTTGGTTAAACGACTGCCTTAGGGTCAGGTCATGATTCCATGGTCCTCAGATCAAGTCCCACAGAGGGAGCCTGATTCTCCCTCTACCTGTCGTTCCCCCTGCTTGTGCTATCTGTCTCTCACTGTCAAATAAATAAATAAAATCTTTTTTTTTTAATTTCTGTTATTAAAAAAAAAAAGAAATGCAGAGGTCTTCTCTGTGACAGTATTAGGGCTATTTGAACAGACTAATAATGAGACATTAAGTTTCTTAATGGCTGTGAATAAACCAATCAAGGTTTGGTTGCTTCATTAGACATTTTTTTCTCTCTGTGAATTTATTTAGAGAAAGCAAATGTAAAAAGAGGTTGAGTGTTTACCATGTGAGGAAGTTTCTATGATTAGTTCTGTTTTATGTTGAGGAAACTGGAGGTATTGACAGGAGGGTTTCTTGTCTGAGGCCTTGACATTAATAAATGGTAGAACCAGGATTTCAACGTAGGCTGTGGAGTCACAGGGCTTTGTGGGAGTACAGTGTTTATGAGATGAAAGGACTGAAAATGAAGTCCGAACCTTGGACTCAGAGCCACCGTGTGAAGCTAACATCTGCGTGATCATCGTTCTGTGAGGCAGCGTCTGGCTGGGGTCAGTCCCAACTGCCTTCTCTTACAGAGTGTGCATCATTTCCTCAAGGTTCCCTCAATTTTCTCCCAGCTTTCCATTCTGTTTCACTGGCACCCCAGAGATTTCATTTACACTATTAAGATTAATTTTAAGTAGCTATCACCCACATATTTGATATAGTGAGAAATAGCTTCATACTAGTTATTTTTGAATTTCTACCTAATAAGCATTTTACATTGCTTCAAAACATAGCATCAAGTACAATCTTCAGCATTATGGGGAAAAAAGAAGACAGTGAGGTTCTAGTGAACTGCCCCTTCTTTTCTTGTCCTAGCACAACTCCGTGCATTCTTCTAAACCATCCACCTTCACACCACAGGGTCCTGGATTATCTTCAAATTCACCTGGCAGAAAGGATTGCCAGTGTGGAGGTGATCAGTATGTAGACCACCAATCACCTATTTCAGAATTTCTAAGTGTTCGGTCTTATTAGAATTCCTAGGATCTCACATTCCTAATCTTCAGATTTTTTAAGGAAGATTTTATTTATTTGACAGAGAGAGAGATAAAGAAAGC